GAGAGTCCCCTGTTTAAAGAGCAAAGCCCTGTCAATTCTGTCGAGAATATGGGGCTGCAGTATTGGGATCAACAGAGGAGGGGAAGTAGGGTCCGGGTTTCGGAAAGTAATGGAATTATTCACGATGAGATTAATTCGCAGGAACAGCGTAGTGGGCAGAACGTTGCAGTGAGGGAATGGTTAATTGGGTTGGGATTGGGCAGATATGCCCCAGTTTTTGAGATACACGAAGTTGACGATGAGGTGTTGCCGATGTTGACACTTGAGGATCTAAAGGACATGGGAATCAGTGCTGTAGGCTCACGGAGGAAAATGTACTCTGCTATTCTCAAGCTGCAGAAAGGGTTTTCGTGAGTTCTATGTTGTATGAATTGGTTTAGAATTTTTGTTTTATGGTTTTTTTCTTTTGATTTTGCTAACCCAAATACTGGTAGTATAATTTTGTTATGATAACTTAATTTTGGAGTTATTATTGTTTATGTTGCTCTAATGAGTTATTAGTTGTTATGGAGTATAACTGTTAAATGTATAAAGGAAGATAACAAGGAAAGAAACATTGTGACCTGGTTAGATTGCCTGGTTAGGCCTTTTTATGAAAGGTTTGAAGCATCTTAATAGATATCGTTGAAGCTAATGAACCAATAAAAAGTATGTAGCACGAAAACTAATAAAATTCCAACTTTAAAGGTACTTAGCACTGTATTCCTAAATCCATGTTCCGACTTACAAATAACTGGGAATATTTTATATCTTTTGCGATGATGATGTTTCTTTCTTAAAACAGCCAATGAACTTGGGCTGTGCTCATGATTTCTTGACTAAACAATAAAGATGAAGTTCAAGACAATCACTTTATCTATTCATTCGCCTCTACAATGCAGATCGTGTGAGTTTCTTGTGCAATTGAAACTAGAAATTATTTAAATGGAAGTGTCTAAATTCTATGCAATGCCATTTTGTTTGTGTGCATAACATAAGTCCTTTGTGCAATTCATGTGAGAATATTATTTATGGTAGTATTTACATTTAACAAGCTTGACAATGCAGTATATGCTGGGTAATTTGTGACACGGTTTTTTTTCCCCTTTCTATTGGTCGCACATCTGGCCCTAGGTATGATGAAGTGCACAGTGGATTCCAACTATAGTTTAACCAGTGCAGAAATATAGTAACTCCGCTTTCCTTAGGATAACTTTTATAGAAAATATGTAAAATTATACTTTAGGCAATTGTATGATTTGAAAATACTTGGTTTAAGAAGATTATGAAATGTGCACATCTGTCGAGAGTCTATTTTTAACTGGATTGTTATTGATTTTGAGTTTCATATATTGTAAATTACTTGCTAGTTCTGAATCACATTTTATTATTGGTTTGTTAAGGCCAATTAGAGATTATAGACCTATTATTATTATTATTATTATTATTATTTTTTTTTTTTTCCAAAGTGAAAACAATATGTCCTACGCGAGTGTAAGTTCTATGATGCTCTCACAGTCAAAGGAGTTTCATTTTGGATGTATCATGCTTTGCTTCCACTCCCATTCTTTCTGATGCAGCACAGTTGTGTTGGTAAGTTGATGGAACTTTGAGGGCCTTTAAGAAGTTTCCATGATAAGCAATATGTTATGGGGATTTGTTGTAGTGATTGGAGTATCATCGAGAGATTGAATTATAGAATACATTTTGATTCTTTGTTGTATACTACCATTTCTTTTAAATGATTTTAAGAGGTTGGATTGTGTATGGAAATTATTTCTTTTCCAATATATGAAGTTATATTGTTCTTTTATACGGTACAATTTTACTGATCAAACTCCAATAAGGTGTGTGACCTAGATATGCAGGGCTAGAAGAACCAAATAGTTTCACCAACTAATAAGTACTCCCATTTGCAATTGGATGGGTGATTTAGATCTACATAGAGTTTGACCTAGAGTTGACATGTAAAACCCGTGTCATTTAACTGCAATGAAATGTTGATGAGGAACTTTCTAAAAAAAATTAAAAGAAAAGGAAAAATATGAATCTCATCCCTTCCATTCACCCCTATCGCACCCCACCACCACCCGTTAATCTTCTCAAATCAACCCTCACATACCACCCCATCGCACACCCTTACCCAAAATCAGATGTTTATTGCAGTGAATCTGACAGGACCAAGCAGACCAAGCACTTTATGCTGCAGAGGCAGATAAGCTATTCTACTGGTATAAAAGTCCAGCTGGATTTTCTTTTACTAATGCCATGGAGATGTACGCAGAAAATACTTGTGTTTTCCTGTTTCTTCTTAGAGTGGTGTACTTTAATCACCTTGCCCCCGTCACCACCAGTTCATCTTCTCCAACCAAATCTATTTCCCCTGGCATTTGTGCCCTTCATTGTGTTATGAATTTTCAAACACCACATGACTTCTCTGATATTGTAGTGATGACTTCAATTTCCTTCAACCAAATACCGGATATTCAGACTGGGCAATGGATGAGCGACCTGATTATTGGTTACAGAAGATGAACGAGTGAGAGTGGGGTAAGGGATGATGAGATATATTTGTTATCCTTTTTCTAAAAAGTGCTTGTGCATTTCAGTTAAATATCGGCCACATAGTACACTAACGGTAATTTTAGAAATGGAGGTAGATGGAGTGATCTATTGTATAATAAAATTAAATATGAGTCACCTTATTGCAACAAATTGAAGTTTTCAGCAATGTTGATGAGATTCTACTGAAAGTTGAGTAATCAAAAATGTTATTTACCCTTCTTTTTTACCCAAAAAATAGTTAAAAGGAATCCTCGTTTAGTCATATCATAAATTTAAATAGGGGCATCTTTGGAAAGTGAGTAATTATTTTTGGAAAGGAGACAGTATTTGTGGATGTCTTTAAAAAGAGATAGAAGCATTTAATCATCTTGTACAATGGAAGTATCGTATTCTCACAGTATACAAACTCATTAGTTTTGCACTTTCTCATGCTTTATTTTAAGAACGAGAGCTGGTTGAAACATTGATTATCCTAATTGTGTTCTTGTTAAATGGTAATTTCAAAATATATTATACCTTCATTCAATTACTTTTTACTTCAAATTAGTATAGGATGTTCCAGTTTCGCGTATAGTGATATTTAGATGCCTTAAGGAAAGACCCTGTATATTCAGTTTTTTATATTCCTAACCAACCAGCTTCTAGCTATTACTGATGTGTAGAGGTGGCTTTGGCATTTCCATTTCCATTGTTCGTGAAGTTCCTATAAGTTGTTGGGCGGGGCAGAAAATCATATAGAAATCAGTGTTTTAATCCCTCCTCTGGTTTCTCTTTTGATAAGGTTCTAAATCACTCTGATTATTATGTATTCAATTTTCTTTATTCAATGATATTGTTGCCTTTAATTTTCTTAGTTTTTGTGTCAGTGCTTTCCCACATTTAGTTCAATTTGGCCATGATATCAGGAGTTGCTATTGCCTTGCAAGTTGGAGCTAATTTCTCTCTAGCTTCTGGAACCTGGTGTCAGATCCCCTACATGCCTTTACCTTAGTGTAACTGACAAGTGTCCCTGTATTTTTATTTAATTCCATAGCATCCCTATGTGTACCTCTTTCAAGTTTCCATTTATTGTGAAGGAATTGCTCTTGCTAATGTTTCTTATCTTCTCATTTCCGGCATAAATCAGTAGGTTTCTGTCTGAGATTGGCAATGGCATTTTCGCACAAAAACATTTCATATGCGTGGTCGCATACTGCTTGGCTGTGCTTGTATGCTATTCTTTAATTTCCAGATTACTGCTTTTCTTTGTAGTAATGGATTTATGGCACATGCTGGTCAGTCATCTGATATTTGCTCTCTTTAATTGGCAAAGTTATACATTTTATTTTAACAGTTTAAGAATCAGTGTCTTGGCAATTCCCAGGAAGCAAAAAACAGGTAATCAACTGAATGGAACTTTGAATTCTCTAGATTTTTTATTGTTTGGAACTGTAATGATTTTTCAGGATTGAAATGGATCTGCAGTCTCTTTACCAAGTTAATGTTACCATACAACTTCACTGAGCACATGAATGAGTACATGTATGTTCTGAATTTGAACAGTTAGCTAAGTTTAAATTTGTAATTTGAGTGAATGCTACTCTGGGAAGCTTTTTCTTATTATTTGAACTGCTTTCTTGCAAAAAGATTCATAGTTCTTTTTGTTTGATAAATCTGTGTTCAGTTTAAACTTTAATGCTGTTACCTGCAGTTTTTATTTGGAATGTTGAAATTATTTGTTGTATTGTAATTCTCAGGTTGTTTCTGGTCCATTATCAACCGTACATCTTGTTCGTTCAAATTTCTTGCCCTTAACTTTATTCGTGTTCTGTTCAAACTTTTCCATTGGAAAAATTTTCTTAGTTTTCTCGAAACAGAATTGAAATGGGTTATTTCTACTTGCGCGTTTGTTATGTGTTGTTTCTCTCATCCTAGCGCGACTGTTAAATGAACCACACTACGAATTCGTTCCTCATACCAAATTTTTACATCTTCAGTAAACCTCAGAATGTAAAGATTGTAATTTTCGCGATGAAAATTATTTGTAATTTATTTATTCTCAATTTTGTAAAATATATTAGAAGAAATAAGAAAAAGGAAACAATTAAGGGAGGTATATATTTCCAAACAATCAATTAACAACTGAGTTTATATTATGCCACAGAAATCCAATACCTCTGTAGCGATGGCAATTTATCTCGTCAAATTAGAGCTATGCTCTGTCCTGTCTTGTTTAGAACGATGGATTGGGGACGGGGAATCCCCTCCCTTACCTTCCCTAGTTGTCTTATTATTTAAAATTAAATAAAGTTTGTTTAAGATCATCATAGGCCAACTTTTTTATGTCAAAACCCAAAAATCGATTACACGGTCCATTAATTCAATTTTCAAATCATACACTTGCTCATAGAATTTATCGTAAAAAATTTACAAAAATAGTAACCCCGCGCTGTCCCGTCCTGTCCCGCCTTAAGAAGTGGAGATTGGGGCAGGGTGATAAAATCCTCGTCGTGCAACGATGGGGTACTCCCATTGCCATCCCTATCCTCGGGCATGCATGTTATCATGGGGTTTCGATGTACTATATATATTATCTTCAAGATCATTACAGATAAGTTAATTGACCAAAAATCAATAAATAAAGAGGAATAAGAAAGCAACAAACACACTATCTAAAAGTAGGAAAATGCAGTGGCATTTATAAATAATACAAATGTGGGATGAAAAGTTAATTAAATAAATTAATCACTTCTTCTTCCATAGTGTAGCACCATTATATGATCAGTAGTTGAGGAATCTGGAAGCAAAGTTACCATCTCCATTGGTTTCCATATGTTGTCCCTGACATTCTGCAACGTCAAGAAAGGTTGAAGCTTTTGCCTTCTACATGTTATCTCTATCTGCTACCAAAAAAAAAAAAAAAAAAAATTCTAAAATTAAAATTTGTACAAAATTATATACTAATAAGCGACCTCTATTATATACTATGAAAGCCGGCACCAAGGATAGTTGTAGAGAGCTTATAATGCATGAGTATATATAGAGTTATACCAAATCCTGCACCCAGGCACAAATAATCTCGTCTAGAATGAAAAAGGAGAAGAAGAAAGATTCACTTCCTTTTCTTTTGCATGATATTGTTAAACGTCTACTTGAATAATGATACTTGTATATAATAGAATTACATAACGATAAACATACTGATGAGATGTTAAAGAGAGAGAGAGAGAGATTTTTATTTTTAATTTGATTGAAAAAATTCTGATCTAATCATAAAATTATTATATAAATCATTATATACATATAGCAAGAGCCGCGTCTTCTTTACCCATAAGTTCTCTTTCCATTTCTTAACCAGATTCCTTCAAAACTAAAAGAGAATTACAAACATCCATCCACTTGTATATACTTAATAAGCAATAAAGCCATTGATGTCCACTATTGGAAAATGTTGGTCTTTAATCATCTAGAAGGGACCCATTTAGGCTTTGATCCTAAGCCTAAATGATTGATTATACTTTAAGACTTCATTTTAATACAAAAATATGAATATAAATTAATAATAAGGTAAGAAGGCAAGGGATTAAACACTATTATTTATTCCGAATAATTTTACCTAATTACTACAGTCAACCTTTACATCTTTATTCTTCATGCACGTCTTGTTCACGTTACTTTCTCTCCTTAAGAAACGCTAATTTTTAATATTATTCTTATACAAAATCTCTACGACCTGGCAACAAGACATTTTCTTAAGGATTTATTATTATTTTTTTTATAGTTTAATGTTCAAATTTTTCATTATTTCATGTCTAAATCCACCAGACTTTTTGTTTGTTTCTTGTCAACAATGTGAAACGATTCTATTCCACATTATCCATCATGCATTGCTTTGCTCCCACGTAAAACAAAGTTATGCAATCATTTATTTTTTATTTTTTTTATTTTTAAAATAGAATTTTTTTCTAGAATAAAACGAATCCTCTAGTGGGGTCGACTATTATACTCTTGATACTATGCAATATGATTAATTTTTTCAAGGTGGGGGGTTTGAATACCAACAAAGTGCATCACTTAGAAGCATTGATTACCTTTTTTATTTGCACAACAATTATAACAAAATAATAATAATAATAGAAAATTTGCAGCACACCTTAAATGACATTTTTTTTTTTTTTAATTTCTTAAATTGATGATTGATAATTTGCCGTATGACTCTTTAACATCTACATCGATTAAAGTAGGTTTTATCTCTGCTCAATTTTCTTTAAATAATCATTAACCTAATACATAGCTTTGGTCAATAATTGTTATCTAAGTTATGCAAAAAATTTATTTATGTCAATGTACAAAATGAATTTTTAATATAGATCATGGTTAGTTGCATTGGCAAAAATTTCGTAGTTAATAATGGTATGAACTTATATGTGTCGTTCCTTGTTGTTCTAATTTTTGTAGGAAGAAAATGTGAGAGTAAGGTAAATGTTGCATTATGAGGTTTTCTCAATGAATAAAGCCTACTTCTCATGTGATTATAGGCGATTTGTCAAACGACGAGTAATTTGTGCTTTTCACTTAATGACTTGTCTTTGTGTTCTTTGTTTCGTTGCATTAGGTGGGATTTTTCATAACAAGTGGTATTAGAACTCATGGTTCAAAGTTTGGAATTGCACTAAAGATGATATGTTCAAACTTTTAGGTAGATTTGTGGTGATGGATTGACACTAAGGTAGAGTTGTGCTAGTAATCTAGTCACGTAGAACTATGGTGATTGAGTTACATTGATTGAGTGATATTGAGGTGCAAATATAGTGATTGATCATATGGATATGGAGCTGTAGTGATACAGTCATGAAGAAAAGGGTCTTCTGTTGTCAAAGATTGTGAAGTGACCAAGATGAATGCCATGGCTAGTGATGAGAAAATAGAAGATTTTAGTGACAAGAAATTGCAAGGTAGTGTTTGATAAATTTGATTTTGTAACTACAATTGATTGAAGAATGGTGGTATTGGCGGTAAAGGGGGTGTGATGATAAGTATGGAGGCATATCGTGATTGGAAAATTTTGGTTCAAGGTGGATATTATTGGGTTGACCCAAATTTGACAAATAAAATAGTCCTATCGTAAAAATAAATAAATAAATAAAAATGATAAAAAAGAAAGAATTTTTCTTTGACAATAAATGGGAAATATTGCAAGAATAATTTTTTTTTTTTTTTTGTGTGAAGGAAAGGGATCGAGATGGTAGTTTCTTGAAAAATTGTATTGGAAAGGATAATCCTTTTGCAATTTAGAAAAAGATTCTTAGTGCAATAGGAAAAGAAGTTTACATAAGAGTGTGTTTGATTTGCTTTATTTTTCATGGAATATATCATTTTTTTTCATTCAAATTCCTATTTTTTGAGTGTTTGATTGACAATTTTTTTCATGGAAAATATTTTCTAACTTTTGGTCATGTGACCATATTTTTCTCTAAAATAAGTAAAACGTTTTCTATAGAGATGAGTGATTTTTATTTTTGAGATAATTCACTATCTATTTCTCTTTCATCTACCCACCAATAAAAAAATAGATAAATATAATATTTTCTAGATTGATAGCTAAATCAATCAAACACATTTAATTAATAATCTTTATACAAATAACTTTTAGGTAATTGAATTGTTTAGAATTTATTTTTTTCATTCAAATTTCATGCTGATAATCAAACGCACCCTAAGAGATCAAGGGTCTTTCCTATAAATTTATAGCATTGCACTTGCCACTAAGGTGACGTGAATTTGAATCGATAATTATGTGCATCTAAAATTATTAGAGTTCAAAGAGAGAAAATTGTTAGAGAGAACCCAGAAAAAATAACAATACGAACTTGTGTGTGTTGATTATTCTAGTTTTTTTTGTAGAGAGAAGTTGTGAGAATTAAAAAAAATGTTGTATTTTGTAGTTGATTTAAAAAAATTCTACTTCTCATTCTGATTAATGACAGTTTGTTGAACTACATTTAATTTATGATTCGTGATTCTTCCAAACTAGATAAATATAGACATAAATTCTCGCTTGAAGGCGACCTATAACGTGTTAGAATGGAACTTATGTCGCCAACAATTATATATTCTTACATCTATACCTACTGAGAAAACAAAATAATTCGAAGCCGAGAAACTGTTTGATTTGATGTCAAATCATCTCAGGATTTAGACCTATTTGACGTAGATATTTTTGAGAATAAATTTGCAAAAAATGATTTTTGTAGAGGATTAAAAATTTGGAAAATTTTATGGATCAACGTGCAAAATTATTTATTATGAGAATATATGAATAACAATGAATTTAGGAAAAAAAAAATGAATTTTACAAAAGAGGGACTTAATTTCACGATTATCATGTTCGTGCATGTTTGTGTGTGATAGAGAAACATAAATGATTCCTAATAGTAATTAATTATAAATGGATTTGACATTTTCGACATTGATATTTTATTCCCAACCACTTGAAAATCCCAAAAATTGGTTCCTTAACTAGTTACATGTCATGTGTGAAAGTTAAGATTTGGACTTATGGCTATATTTTACATGATTTTTGTATAATGTAATAACTAATAAGACAACACTCAAGTCATATGCATATGAAGAAGAATTCAACAAATACGAAAGGGAAAAAAAAAAAACGAAGTTGACCTTTAAAACAAAATGCATGGAATCAAAGAGAAGCGTGAGTTATGTTGAGTGTCACACAATATAAAAATAAATTCAATATATTAGTAACATGAGAATGTCAATCCAAATAAATAAATAAATATATTTATGTTGAGTGTCACATTATAAAAATAAATTAGTTTATTTAATTTGAAGAGAGAATTTTGGATGCTGCTCATAGTAGTTTTGTTTGACAGATTCTCATCCCTTTTATGACATGCATTGCACAAATATAAGAGAGTTTTATGCAACCAAATCAAAGTACATAGTTGACCTCAGTACTAAAATAAATGAAGAAATATGAACTTAATTAGGATGAAACAAAATCAAATTTTGTATTATATCAAGACATCCTTGCTAAAAAGCAAATAATAATGCCTTTCTATCCATTAATTTTCCCTTAAATATATAGTTGAAGCTCTACGTACTATAGTTGTTGAGTTGGTTGAGATAATTAGTACTTGACCTCGTAGTCGAGGTATCACGAGAAAAGAATGGCAGACATAGTTTCAAATTTCAACAATCTAATTAAGCATTTGTTAGTTATAATTATAAAATAGATTTTAATAGTAATCTATGAACTGCATTGTTAAACAGTTGTGGATCATATGAAATATGTGATTAAATTTAATTATTAACTTTGACTTAAATTTTAATTAAGATTTTACACCATACCAAATAGAAACTAAGTTCTTTTATAAAGAACGCGAAAACCCTTGAACCTTTAGACAATAAACACATGAAAAGAAAATAGGGTCATGACCTTAACCTACAGCTCATGTAAGAATGGGAGATTTTATGGAAAGGACATTTTGAGATTATAACTAAATAGGCTCATACATTAATGTTAAAAAAGGAGAATGTAAAGAAATATTATTTTTAATTCTATCTCCAAAGTACCTAAAAATTCAATCTCTAGTTAGTTAATATCGGTGATATTCTTTCGATGTCTCTATCTAAAAAATATGAGTTGGCATTCCTACATTTTGAAGAAAAGAGAGGGGACGAGAGAGCTAATGAAACAAGAGGTTATATTTCTAATATTTTCCCCATGAAATTATGCACGATAAACTTCTTATTGGAAATTGTGAGAATAGTAGAAAATCACGTACTTAAATATAAAAATAATAATCAATATATACGGACTTATGCTACACTTTAATTAGGTAGACGTAATTTCAAAAATACGATAGGTTATCTTTCTCTATCACTTTCACTTTGGAACCATAGAGATCATGTGTGGTTTTATATATCCTAGTGCTATTTAACATAACCCAGAAACCCTAGTTTACTTTTGGCTTGACAAACTCTACAAATGTGTTCTTAGATGCAGTATGCTCTTGAGTTAATTTCTTCTATTCTCTATATATCTAAGCCTATGTTCGACAAATTTATAAATGGTTTATAAATAAGAATACTAATAAAAATAGTATTGAATGCCATGAACTACGTGAATAATAGTAAGAAGTAGTTATAAATGCGTGGAGAAAACTTTCGGAGAGAAATTAAGCTCGAAGATGTGTAATTAAGTTTTTCTTCCTCTTCTTGTCTTTGGTTAAAAAGCTTTTTAAACGCTTAGAAATGAATATATATAACGAGAAATTAACTTCATTTCATTTTCTTGGTTTGGGCTTCGGTGGTAAGTAGTTTTCTACTACATTTCGTCACTTCAACCCTAAACATTAATCCCATCCGTAAAGATCGTAACTGATTAACTATAAGCATGAAGCAGATAAAATTAACGTTAGCAATTTCATTGAACACTTTCAAATTAGGCAGCAAATACACAGTTTATTGCAAAAATGAAATATCAAACTAATTATAAAGCAAAAGCTAAACGAGACGAAGATGGCTACCTAGTAATTAACATCATACCTAATTTTGAAGTTACCTAAAAGTAATAAATATACTAATGGAAAAGCCTATATAGTTCTGATGTTTCCATCATCTTTCTCACACCAACCATATCCTTGAATATGTTATTCATTTACTAGTTGAAAACATGTTAATTCTCTTCTGTTTCTTTTGTGTTTGGTCAATTTCGAATCGATGAGACGGAGTTTATCTTATTCCAGAAGCAGAAGCTAATAGTTTTATAAACATATTAATTAATAATAATCCAAACCGCAAGCATTTTCAGAGAGAGAGAGAGAGAGAACAGAAAAATGTAGCAGGATTGATTACATACCTCTGATTCGCTTTCAAGTCTGAGCTTATTAACCAGATACTTAATTACGAATTGAATCGTCATATTTCCATCCCTAACAGTTTAAAGATGATGCAAACCTAGTTAATCACAGAAAATGAAAAAATGGAGAAAATAAAAGGACATGAAAACAAAGAGTTGCAGAAAGAATTACTTGATTCTTAGATAGCTTCTGGATATCTGAGGCAGAAATGGTTCTTTTGATCTGCAATGAAAATTCGAAGGCGTAAGAGAACGAATAGAGACCAAAAAAATTATATAAAGCAAAGGAAAAGAAAGACCTAACGGTGATGAATATTATTTTTTTGTTACTTACTGATTTTGTGATGCTTGTAGCATAAACCATATGCCAGAATGTGGTCTCCGAGGAGGAAAAATGACTCTAAAATCTAGACCTGGCTCGGAGGTACCCAGTCCGGTATGGAGTTGAAATGGAAGCGGTGGCATTGACGACGAAGATGCTGCTATATTAACTGGAGTAGGCCTAAACGTCTTGTTAATCTCTTGACGAGGAAAATTAGAACTAGTTCCGGCAGGATGTTGCCAGATAATTGGGAGGTTATAGCCTGAACCGGCAGCCAAATTCATAACTGTAGGCTGAGGAGCTGAATATTCCGGCATGTTAAGCATAGGGTCTAAATTTCTCATCACTTGTGAATCAGAATTATAATTACTACTTGGTAGAAGATCAAGCTCGATTAATCTCCTTTTTTTATCAACCTGATCTTGCTTCTTATTTTTGCTAACTGTGCGTCCACCAATACTCAATTGAAGCCACCCTTCATCTTTATCTTCTTGAAAATCTTTTAAACTGGAGCCTGAAGTTTCATTTACAGTCCTCCCAGTTCTTGAATCATCTTCCTCCATTGGATCAACCTGGTGATCAGATCCTAATAAGCAAGTTTCACTAGAATAATCAAAACCATCTGATGGGCTCACAAGACCAAAACCCTGATAATAACTACCACAAAACTGCTGTCTGAAGAGGTTTTTAGAAGGAATCATGGTCATTCTGAAAAACCCAGAAACCCCAATTGCCAGTACATATGAGAGTTATTCGTGTTCAGCTTATCCTTAATCTCAACGAAATCCATAAATTGGAAAAAACTCCTTATACTGGAAAGAGATAGATGTTGTTTCAAAGAACATATTGAGATACTATGGAGACAATGATACCTACTGACTAGATAAGAGTACTATGGTTGTTTTTCATTTTTTCTTTTTGTAACCTTGGACAATCAAAGGACAATAAGAGAGAATAAAACTTGCAAAATCTCACTTTCAATTGTTCACTTCGTTTGGAAGATTGCGAGGGGATGAAATAGTTGCAGGGTTGGGTAGATGGCGGTCAGTCGGTTACCTTAAAATTTATATAATTGCAAAGTTATACATATATATTGTATATATGTAGAGGTCGAACAGTATATGTCTGCTCTTTTCTCTTTCTTCTTGACTTTATTAGTAAGATAGAATACATATCTACTTGTTTTCTGGTGTATATTTTACGGCTAACTTTAGGGCTTGTTCCAAGAATTGGAATTGCAATAGAATTCTCCACTTATTTTTCTATACCATGAAAAGGACGTTTTTGGCCTTTGTCGGCACAAATGTTTGAAGAGATAAGATTTGCGTAATTCGGCAATAACATTGTATGTACGAGATGATTTTAATTATGTGTTCAAGAGTACTTTTCTTATTAAAAGTCTAACACGTACAATTTTTCCTGTAATTGTGATCGTTATACATAAAACATTTGTCTACTCGAATACTATGTCAAGTTAATAATCTTATCTAAGAAATAAACTACTTGTAAGAAAAGGATGACTTGTTCATGTATTAATTACAATAATGGTCCATTTATTTCACAATTTTATTCTTTTCTTTCATTTGATTAGTTTACAAAATAGGAGGATTTTTTTCTCCTTTTCAAACCCTTTTACAAGATACTTTTTGGTTAAGACTTGAGATTCCATCTTATAAGGTCATCTTTGTTGAGAGGAATAGTTCAAAGCCTTATAAGTTTGGTCTATGTTTCTATCTTTATTCGATGTGAGATTTTATCCCTTAACATGCATAGCAAGATGATGATTTGTTGTACAGAACAATCTTGAAATTCGATTACTTATTTATTGATTTTTAATTGGATGGAATTGTTTATTAGAGTTTAATAGGCTCTGATACTATCTAAAACCTTATAAATAGGTCTAAATTTCCATCTTTATTCCATGTGGGATTTTGTGCCTTCACTTTCTTAACATAAATTTGGAACTAATAAAACGCTTTCAGTAAGTTCAACCTTCATTTACAAATTAGAGGAGCCAATCTATGAGAATTTGGATTTTGATATGCTCAACCTTTATTTTTTGGCATCTGAGTCCCCAACATCTCTAATTAATTCGTAGCAGTGCATCGTAACTCTTTTCACGATCGAATGAATGTGAATGGTATTATTGGGACTCAAATGCTACAAATTTGAAAGTTGAGTTTTAAATTACCGCAAGTGCACTATTCGTTAATAAGTAATAAAATGAATTAAGATTGTATTAATTTAAATTCAAATAAACTAAGCCTTAACCGAAACTATGATATTTGTTGATTTTTCTATGACTAAATTATAATCTACTTATGAAGGTAATACCTAAATTAATTAGAATTGATGAGAAGTTATGATGAATTTAAATTTTATTAATATATAATGATAAAAGTCGCACTAAGATTCCAAATCCACTTGTATCAATCTTCTTTAACCCTAACATTATAATTTGACAACATGATTCAATTATAAAAATCAATATTCCTAAATTGTTTAACAATCTCTCTCAAGTAGAATTAAACATATTCGCACATGTGAACAAACTATATTTCTATGACGAATGCGAACATACAAGAATACATTAAAGATTTATGAATACTTAAAGATCACATAAAGTATATCGATATATTTCTATTCCTATCGGACTTTACAATGATTAACACCTTGTCTAACTTATTTTCTATCTTTCAATGGTAAAACAGACAATAATATTCATACAATCATTGTGCACATAATTGTAAAGAAGATAATTCCATAAAAATCATTCAATAATTGACAACGTGTTTGAATATCAAAAAGAAAAACTAAGAATTAAATGTTCATGATACAAGATTTATCGTAACTCTAGCACTAAATTTGTTTAGCCTAACATGTTATGAAGAAGCATGCAAAAGAAATAAAAGTTGATTATCTCTCAAAAATTCTTGAATTCAATCTTGAAGTTCTTGAAATTTAATCTTGATGTGTCCTTTACCTCTTTTTGCAATCAATTCTCTCCAACCCTAATTATTTGTTGAGAGTTGATATTTATAGTAGTCTCCAAGAAGTTTCTAAAGTTCTCAGAATTCGTACAAAATTGACCCAATAAGAGGTTTCCTTGTTGGATTGAAATTTTGAAACAAAAACCAGTTTCTCGCTACGATTGAACCCGGGTGGTCGCACATGCACTCTTTTAAGCCCTTGTTATTGGTTTTCATGGGCGATCAATCACCCGACCAATATAATTGGGTAGTCGTCCAGTTATGTCGTCTCTCCAATTTTACTTTTTAGTTCTCAAATTCAATTCTTGATTCTTTTAGTCATCTTTTCTTAGAATTTCAATCCTTCAACTTTTTATTACATTCAGTTGAACCCATAATATCTTTAGTTTTCATTTTATGGTCCGAATCAAACTGAAATTGCAATTTAGCTCTCATACTTTGGATTTCACCTTTTTCTTTTTCAATTACTTAGAAATGGGTCCATCACTGAAATAAACGAAAATTAACCCAAGTTAACGAGAAGTCAACACTTACACAGCAGAAAAGTTTAGTAATATGCCTAATTAAGTGCACAAAATGCACTTATCATTGATAACCCAGATATCATAAAACTAAGCTAGCGAACTCAATACTTGGTTAAGCTGCATTTTTGTACTATTAATTTCTTTACATGAATTAGTTGCATTCATGGGGTCGAGATAGTATAGAAATTAAGATTAATATTCTGCTAAATCTAGATATAGTAGTTACTATAGAACATTAAATGTAGGAATATAAAATAAACCCCCAAGAGCTTTCCAATGATCATGAAAAACTTGTTTTCAGCTGTTACGATTAGTGTTCTTAAAAAAGTAAAGCATGGCTAGACAGTAAAGTTAAGCTTTAAGTTTTTACGAGCTTAGACATCTCTAACCCATACATAAAATTATGTAAACCTTGATTAGGCCACAAGGGTATGATATATCTATACACAGTTTTTAGAATATTGATTACAATAGCTAAAATACTTTTTACCTCAAGTAAAACATGTATTTATGAAATTTCAAAAATTTAAGCCGTTTTAGTGATCATAGTACCCTTAAATTCTCCCTAAAGATGTAAATGGTGGCATTTGTTTGCATCTCATAAAAGGAACTTTTTGAGGGGTAGAAAGATATCCCCATCAAAGATAGTTACGTGTTTTCATGCTTGCCTCCTTTCTCCCACACTTCTTTATTGAATGCAACAACAGAAGATTTTCCTCCCTACAAATTAGTGCACAAGTATAAACGATCAACTTGCCCCACAAGATAAGATGTTAGTTCGTTTGAGTCCTTAACATATCAAATTGTTCATGTGAGCATAACGTACCTTGCTACCATATTAAAACTTAGGGTTCATTCTTAACGTTTATTTTTATGTCCATAAACTTGTACTTAGTAAACAACTAAGTTGCTAATCAAATTCAAGGGTGGTCCAATTTTAATTCAAATTGAGACGTTCTTCAAGAACCTATTTGTCAGTTGACTACTTATTTAAAGGAAATTGGACGAGACTTTCTCAGGAGTAGGGGCAGGGGCAGTCGTCATCATATATATAATGCGTATGTATGCATTGTATGTATAGAATTAGGGGGTTGGGTAGGGTTGGGGTGGGGTGCATATGCCTGTAAAAACGAATGTCTTACGAGACCACGTCCCTCTGTCCTACATCTCGGGTTTAGGGGAACACCATCATTCATACAAGAATCACATTCATTTCTTTATAATTACCTATTAATTACTAACATATAATTACGTACTTGTTATATGTTAATTGTGGGTCATATGGACAGGTAATTATGCCATATTATACCCTGCCACCTATTTGGATCACTATTTTTTTCCTCAACTCTTCAAAATATGGGTTCATTCGAGATGTGGACCCTTATAATTAGGTCAGGTTAGTCTTGGTCCGGACTTTTCTCATTGATGTTTGGGATTAGATGGTTCAATATATTTTGATATCTTTAAGAATAACTCTGGTTGTTCATGCCACAGTTTCACAGAACTTATACAGGCCAGATACATGTCAAGGTGGGTGGGTGGGTGATTATTTAAAAATAAATAAAAAATTCATCCACCCTTTTACATGTATGAGTAGCCTGTACAGGTCCTGTGAAACAGTGACCTGTACAGTCAACTCGATTCTATCTCTAATTAGTTGCGTAAATGGAAATTTAGGATTAGAATGTAAACATGTCGTCATTAAAAACACGTCTGAGTGGGGGGAAAAAAATTCAAGAAGCAATTATATTTTAGAAACTGAAAAGGTTGAGAATCATTGTAATTTCAAGATATTGATCAGACTGATTTTTAGGACATTGAATATAACGCCCAATTAACTGTAGAAAGCCAAAAACCCACAAGGGAATGTCAAAGCAAAGTTAAGAGAATTTATTGTATGGGTGTTTACACGTAAATATAATGCATGGCATAATGATTTAGAAGGATCGATATTCATTAATTGATTGATTTCAAAATTAAAGTTGGGACAAAATCATTAGAGCTTTGGCCAATATGAAAGAAAGACAAGAAATTCAAGAAAAATCCAATTTTCTTTAGCCTTTCGTAATCATGATATCATCATTCCATGATTTACAATGAAAGAAATAAGCAAAAGTCCGATCCCAGTATTGATTTTGCCTATATTATAACTTTTTTTCCCTTTTTTTTTTCCAATGCATAATTATTGTTTTCCTCATATAGTGATCTTAATTTGGATTTTAAAAAGTTAATCCATTCTTCAATAATAATAGGCATAAAGAAAATCAAGAACAAGTAAAGTAAATATAAGAATATAAAGTTCTCGATTTTCTCATTCAACCGCATAATTATTGTTTTCCTCATATAGTGATCTTAATTTGGATTTTAAAAAGTTAATACCAAAATCAAGCATATAAAATCCATTATATATATTAGCTATTTAATACATCCATAAAATACCCAATAAATCTATTAAGGGTAATTATCACAAAACGTTATTATCTTTCAATGTTATTGTGTAAAACGTTCTTACCTTTTATTTTTTTGGCACTTTTATCCTTACCTTCACATTCACCTTTTATTACTGAAATCATTCTTTTAATCAAATTTCTCGTGTAAAATGACAAATATACCCTCTATTTAAATAAAACAATAAAAAAGAAAAGAGAAGTTAAATAATAAATTGCAATCATACTTCCATACTTTTTAAAAAGTGCGAACGATTCCAAATAAATTATTAAAAGGTCAAATAGCACAAAACGTTCTTACCTTTCATTATTATTGTGCAAATGTTCATACCTTTCATTTTTTTTTGACATTTTCACCTTAACTTTATATTTTATCGCAAAAATCATTATTTTCATCAATTTTCTCAATTAAAAGTTATAAAATGACAAATATACAATTCTTTTTATATAAACGGAAATCAAGAAAAGAAAATTAAAGAACAAATTGCAACTATACTTCCAAACTTTTCAAAAAAATGTACAAATAAATAATTAAAAATACTATAGTTGCAATTTGTTCTTTTTTATTTTTTTTATTTAAAGAGGAATGTATATTTGTCATTTTAGAGCTTTTAATTGAGGAAATGGATAAAAATAATAATTTTCGTAATGAATTATGAAATAAGGGTGAAAATGTCAAAAAATGAAATGTATGAACATTTTGCACAATAATAATGAAAGATAGCAACGTTTTGTGTTAATTACCCTTTTAATAATTTATTTGAACTCATTTGCAATTTTTAAAAAGTTTGGGAGCGTGATTGCAATTTATTCTTTACATTTACCTTTTCTTTTCTTTTTATTGTTTTATTTAAATAGGAGGTATATTTGTCATTTTATACGAGAAATTTGATGAAAATGATGATTTTCACAATAAAAAGTGAATGTAAGGCCGTAAGAGTAAAAATGTCAAAAAATAAAATGTAGGGACGTTTTACACAATAATATTGAAAGGCAATGACGTTTTGTGCTAATTGCCCCATCTATTAATAAGTTTTGAAGTTTAGTTAAATAAAGCTGAAAATTGGTTAAATATAAAACCATAAAAACATTAAAGATGATTTTCATGTCAATTTCGATCAAATATTCGAATTTGATTCAATGGTCAAAATATGGAAATTAATAGACTAACTTGTTCTACTCATTGAGTATATAATCGTGGTATATTTGGAATAGAAAAAATAATTTCGGATGAATTAGAAATTTTGGACCAAATTTAGAAGGAAGAAAGGAGAAAAATGCAAAAATCAACTGAGGTCGCCGCTCGAGCGGTAGGCCAGTGCAAAGCGAGGGATGGAGGTTCTGCTAAAAAGGTGCCATTTGCGCTCGAGCAAGAAGTCAGTGTCAGACTAGTGACAACAAGAAATACGTTTATTCTTGAAGGTTGTTAAATTTTGGGGCTTATCTCTTATTTACAACCTCTCATCTCCTATAAATTGGACTCCTTGGATGTCATTTAAGTATTCCAATTTATATTCTTGAGTCCTGTATTAAAATTCTTGCCAAATCTCCCAAACATTGTATTCAAAATCTTCTTTTGTAGAGAAAATAATCTGTTCAAGTACGTTGTTACCTTATAGTTTGAAGTGCTTCTACTATAAGAAAGTAATTTATTGTATCTTGGAAGACAAATGTCGTTACTTCGTTAGCATCGTTACGGGACAAATTTGTTCTATGGAAAAAGTGTTTTCAGTTGTCTTGGATCATTTCTGCTTTCTTCTTCTTCATGTCCACTTTTGGTTTCTATCAATTTGTTACTTTGTTTAAAAACTTTGTTCTGCATTGTTAAACTTAGCTTTTTGTTATCCATATTTACAACAAACTTTACTATATCCCCAAATAATAAGTAGACCGATCTCAAGTATATAAATGTTCTATATAATTAAAGTCCACATATTTTGTCAATTTTTTAGTGAAACCATCACGTGGCTAGAGATTTGATTGGTGCTAAAAAGTTTTTCTAAAAAAACACAAGCCTAAAAATAGGCATATAACCAGAGCTCTAAAAAAGTAAATTAAAGGTAGAGATGGCAAAATAACTCGTCTCGCCCCATTCCAAATGTGGTCGAAAAAACCCGTCGCAACGTGGAGCGAGGTGGGGAAGAAGTAAAAATAAAAATAAAAAAAAATTGTTAGTTTAAGCATTATTTGCTTTGGATTTTAAAATTTTGAAGTTATATTTTATTCCCTAATAGCAGCATAACTCAAAAATTTAAAAATGTAAATTAAAAAAAAAAGACAAACTGGACAAGCCGCTACCTCATCCCGCCCCGTCCCGTCCCGTCCCATCTATGGCAGGGCTACGCGTGGGCATGGCAGGGCGACCCGTTGCCATCTCTTATTAAAGGTCGAATCTTGACCTCCCATCTAGTCACATTTTATGCCTAGAACAATAAATATAACCTGGGCTTAAAATATAGTACAATAAGATTAACCAGACCTAGTTAAAAAATAAAGTTTTAAGTCACGTTTTTATCATACTAGTCAAAGTTGACGTGCATTCCATGTTATTTTATAATACTTTATAAGTGATGTAAAAGTAATTTTTGATACCAATTTGTTGAAGGATTTGATGAGCCTTGGATGAATTAAAGAAATTAAAATTTAGTATAAAAATTTAAGAGAAGAAAATTTTACTCAAATTATACTCTCAGAACTCAATTTTTATGATTCAAATTTTTTATAATGATGAAATATTATAAATGAGCAATTTTTTTATATTACATTTGATATATAAAAATTAATTGCTAATACATAAATTTAAACACCCATTAAGATTTTCAGATATATGAATATGAATAAATTCATTCATAATAACTATAGATTCATGTAATTCAAGGTGAAAGTTTATTGAATTTAGATTAATGTGAATGTTAATTAATTGAGAATTAATAATATAAATTTCATAGATAAATTGGGAACCGAGCCCAAATTTGGGCTGCCCAAAATTTTGACAACCTGCGCAATTTTATAAAAATCATTGACTTGTTTTTGGTTTCATTGATTTAAAATAATACTAAAAAAAAGTTCAAGCTCCATCTTTCTATTTAATTATTTTGATTTCAAAATCACATGTTAGATTACAATTCAATCCTTTGAACCTTGATTCTTCTCCTTTTTGGATCAATACCCGATTCGATTTTTAAAATACACAAAGATGCTATTTTCAGTTTTACATATTGGACTACATAGTTCCAAAGTTTAAAAGAATAATGTTGTTTAGCCCAGCTAGAGTTATAATCTCAATTTATGTGGCGTTAATGTGATATTAAATAATAGGTTAAATGCAATATTGAATTAAATGACTTATTTAATTTTAACTTATCATTTATTGTCAAACTAATGTCACATAGACTTGAATTATAATTGTAGTAGGGTTAAAGAGCATTACTCGGTTTAAAAAGGGTTTACAATTTACGTATTGGACTATATAGTTCCAAAGTTTAAAAAGGGGTCCAACTTTCCATTGTTGTCCCTAAAAGCTAGTTCAAGAAGTGAGGATTTTCGTCATACTTATAAACTGATCACCAATCCCTTCTACAATCGATGTGGGATAACCTCAACAATCTCCCTTTTACACATTGGGTCTTGTGGGAGACTAAACTCGTCTCCCCCTCACATATCGAGCCATGTAGGAGACCAAACCCGTCTTCCTTTCACACAACGGGCCATGGGTGAAATCAAACCCATCTCCTTCACACACAAACTCGCATTTCCGGTGACCGTTGGGTTTGAGACTTGTTGATAACTTGGCTCTGGTACTAGTGTTGGATAGTATTGGGCATTCTTAATCTCAAAAATTAGTTTAAGAGGTGAGGCCTTCCCTCACACTTATAAACTGACCACCAACCCCTTTCACAATCGATATGGGACAACATCAACATCCATAAGCCCCCGCCCTGTTAGGGTTCCACTTTGCATTGCATGCGCTACCTTGTCAACCACTAAAAAGCTCTCACGTACAACCCATTCTTACTAGTGCAAGTAATCATTCCATGGGCACGATGGAGACCCCAGACCTGCCTCCAGGCCAATTACTTATTGAAGGCAAAAAATAAAAAAATAAAATAAAATAAAAATATATATATATATTGTAGGGGAATTTTATTTTATTTATTTTTGTGTGTATCAGTTCAGTAGAAATTTTTTATTTTCCCTTGACTCTGCCCACGTAACCCCATCCCAAAATCACTATAAAAATAGTTATTTTGAGGAAAATTTGCATGATTACGTAGCAAGTTAGTCTATAACAATATTAAAAATTACGAACCCGTTTGTTGTAAATTTTTTGAAAATTGATTTAAAAAAAAAAAAGAATTTATGATTAAAAAGTAACAAAAATAATGCATTTACATACAAAATTATTTCATTAAGAAAATATGTAATTTAAAATGAATTAGGAAAAAATGAAATTTAAATAATCTCAAACAAACAGGGGCTAAATCGTCTCGCGACTTCAACATATTCAATTTTATGTAGTTTGACTTGCTTTTTAACTTGGAATCGATTGTGTAATAAAAAGAAAGAAAAGCATCAACTTGCTTATTTTATCTAGAGCAAATAGCTTATTGTCCTACTATTCTAAGTTAAATTTAGGGAAAATTGCAACAGCGATCCCTAATTTTTTCATTTTTTGCAAATTTTACCTTAATTTTTGTTTTGTGCCAGCAAAGGTCTATAACCTTTCATAAATATGCACCTGAGGTCCCTTTAGACAGAAACCATTCTAAACATCGTTATTTGACTTGAGAATATTTCTTGAACTATCTGCTACGGCGACGTTTTTATTGGATGTAGATACATTGTTTGAAGTTGTTTTTGGACGGTTTTATTGGATGTTGATTCCTTAATTTTTTCGATTAATTGACGATGTTTTGGACAATTTTCATCTAAATGGATCTCGTGTGCATATTTATGAAAGATTAAAAATCTTCGCTAGTACAAAATAAAGGTTAGGATAAAGTTCACAAAAAATTAAAAGTTTAGGAATCGCTACTTCAATTTTCCCTTAAATTTTTCAGTCAAACGCATGTATTCTTTTGATCACTTTCTGATCAAAATGCAGGCACGCTTAGTCCCTAAACTGTAAGAACACATGCATGGGACATTTCGAATGTAGAGAAGATGTTTATTCACGGCATAGTTAAATTATTAGGCAATTAAGAACTAAAATAATTAATAAAAAATTGCACCCTTTGCATGTCACCAAACCCTAGATATTCTATTATTTTTTCTAATATTTTTTTCTTCCCACCGTCATCATTATTACAACCTCGTCATCTCCAACTCCCAACTTTTATTAATTTCATATTTATTCCTGCTAAAAGTGATTATTTTTGCGGAGCTTGCAAACTTTCTTTTAGTTGATGATTATTTATAATTATCTTCGCCATTGGTCTTATTACCACCAAACGTGCTTGAGATTATCAAATTGACCTCGCAAATCACCTTTCCACTAATTTTTTTGCCGCTTCTTGCACGCACTTAAACACACGAAGATATTAACTCGTATTTTTTATTATATGAATATGAAAAGAGTCGACATGAAATAATAACTATTAGCCCTTGTTTGAGTCTCATTGTCATAAAAATGCATTTTTGAATAGGGTATTGATGTAAAATGTGTGGTTAAAAAATAAGGAAAAAGTTTGAATTTGCGTGTAATATTATTTTATTAAAAAATGTGTTGTTGAAATAATATCTAAACACTGTTTAATAATACATTTCTTTCCAAAGAATGAGATTCAAATAAAGGCTTAATTTTACGTCGTAGTTATTTTTTTTTTCCTTTTCGGACAAGTGGCAAGAGAACCTATCCATAGACATATTACATCATTATAGGGACTGAAAATAGACAAATAAGTAAATGCAATTGGGTAATACATAATACATCCTCCAATTTCTCTAATGTACAATTTTGTGGATTAATTATGTAACGTCTCATCCTACGAGGTTCCAAATATTGACCACGTGACAACTAGCTAGCAAGCTAATGCAAGTTCACTGTCCGTTTCACCAACCCACGCGACATAATCAAGGCCATCAAATAGAAGTAGTCGAAGTGATGCTATCACCTCAGTCGAAATGCCATGTAGAGGCCGAACTTTCGTGACTGAGGTGAGGTGCTACAATCTAGTGCAACCTATTACCGAAGCAATAGACTTTGAATCCACGAAGGTATATTTGTCATTTGCCTTTTCCAAGAGATCTTTCGTATAAGATATACAGTGATTGATTGATATGATATCTTTGCAATAGACACCTATTAGTCAACTCATTAATCTACTTTTTAGATGTCAGACCTAGACAATAGGGTGACATATTTTTAGGATCATTAAATGTCCCTGAACATAAAATTACAAAAGCGACACCTAAGATAAAGTCACGCGTCTTTCATCTAATCGCAACTCCATTTCTTCTACTTTAAAAACTTACACTTATTGTCATTTATAGGTAATATAACTTTACACTTTTAATAGTAATATTGTTCATCCTTATTATTTCTTCTCCACAAATCTGGTACCCATATCCATACTTGTGGCTTACGTCTTCCATTCATCCCACACCTAATATACAAGTTGACTTACTTGACCGTCGAAGTGATCGCGATCGCCTCTCACTACTACTGGAAAAAGACACATGCTTGTCCAGGTGTGCAAAGCTTTACGTTGGACGTAAGTGAAGTCAAAACATGTTAGCCATGTCATTGATAAGATATTGAGGTTAGCAAATTGATTTCGTTCGTGAAAAACCACACTATTAACCACAAACAAACCCCGTGAGAAAAGCATACCAAAAAGTAAAAAAAAAAAAAAAATAGTTCTAGGTGGTCTTCATCTTCGACTTTTTGATTCAAAACTTCATCAAAAGCAAAGTGTTAAAACTTTCCTTGAAGAAAATATAAACTTTAAAGGAAAATTTGTTCTAGAAGACCCCCTTGTAGAAAAGAGGCATCTTCCCAACAAGAGTGCTAGTGAAGAAGATTAAATCCATAGAGAGTGGTGCAAAAAATCTCCAAAGAATCATTGCACTCCTCACCAAAGGACACATGTTGGACGTGGAAGTGCTTACAATCACCTCCCCCACCACTGGAGAAGGACACATGCTTTTAAGGGTTTGTCCAAGTGCGTAGGAGCCTTACGCTGGATGTCAATGAAGTCGAGATCTGTTGGCCACGTCATTGATCATAAATTGAGGTCAACATGATTGACTTCGTCTATGAAAAACTAGGAGTGGGCATTTTTTTTTTCAAAATCGGTGGAACTGGACCGGAACTGTTTAGAACCGATCAGTTCAGTTCCAAATCTTCTAAAAAATGATTTGATTTTAGAACAAATTATTAAGAACCAACCAGTTCAGGTTCCGTTCTAGTATGGGAACCGTCGGGAGCCGGACGGTTCTCATAAGTTTTTTTTCTTTTTGCTTTTTTTGTAAAATATATAACTCAATCTCTAATCACTTTTATCAAAAATAATCGGGTTCCTTCTTCATTTTAGACTCTAGCACTTTCCTTCTTCTCTTTGATTCTCTCTTCTTATAATTCTTTAATTAATTGATTCTCAAGCCAAATTAGAATATTGGGTAAAACTATACCTAAATAAATTTATTTTCAATATATAATTCCATTTCTAAAATGCGAAATTTTTATTTTGTTTTCACTTTGATTACATAATTGATGATCCGATCGAAATTTTTCATCTAGATTTCTACAAATTATAATCGACAGAACCAGAAGTTGCAATGAATTTTTAAAGGGTATCCAATTCAATGTAGGATTTTGATTTTGATATAAGATTTCTTTCTTCTCTTTGATTCTCTCTTCTTATAATTCTTTAATTAATTGATTCTCAAGCCAAATTAGAATATTGGGTAAAACTATACCTAAATAAATTTATTTACAATATATAATTCCATTTCTAAAATGCGAAATTTTTATTTTGTTTTCACTTTGATTACATAATTGATGATCCGATCGACATTTTTCATCTAGATTTCTACAAATTATAATCGACAGAACCAGAAGTTGCAATGAATTTTTAAAGGGTATCCAATTCAATGTAGGATTTTGATTTTGATATAAGTTTGTTTAATCATTGGAGCAGTTTATATAAGTTGATGATTGCTTAATGATAATAACCTATATATTTGGATATTGTTTTTGTAGAAAACAACAAACCAAAGATGAAGAATCGAGGAGAAAGAGAGAAACCCGATTGATAGCAGCCTCCAAACTTAGGACAAATATGTGGGTTACAAGTGTATATATACTACGAAACTAAGGATAAAGTAAAAGACTAAACTACCCTTAACCTAATCTATTTATTACATTGACATCCCCCCTCAAACTCACTATGCTATGCAAGAGGCAACGAGAGTTTGACAAGCAAAAAGCATAAACCATAAATCGAATGGGACTTCATGAAGATGTCAACAAACTGCAACGATGAACAACGAAAGATAGGGAGATGATGCCGGGAGGAGAAAGAGAGAAACCCGATTGATAGCAGCCTCCAAACTTAGGACAAATATATGGGTTACAAGTGTATATATACTACGAAACTAAGGATAAAGTAAAAGACTAAACTACCCTTAACCTAATCTATTTATTACATTGACATCCCCCCTCAAACTCACTATGCTATGCAAGAGGCAACGAGAGTTTGACAAGCAAAAAGCATAAACCATAAATCGAATGGGACTTCATGAAGATGTCAACAAACTGCAACGATGAACAACGAAAGATAGGGAGATGATGCCGAACTACAGATAACCAACGAAACCACACAATCTCAGCTAAACCAAATGGATGCAAATTTCAAATTCCAAATTGAACTTGTCATACCAATTCCAAGAACTGACTATGCCATATTCCAAACTTCAGATAGACTGGACAAATATCAAACGAAATTTCTAATCCCGTGAACCGGGCATCAAATGAAATTTGCATCCTGAAATGAGCACAAAACCAAATTTTCAATCCCACGAACTGGGCACAAAAACAAATTCAAGCTCGACAAATGCCAAATTTAAGGCACCCACAGCTAACAACACATCCCCATCTTCAACAACTCATCAAACAAGGCCCAACAATATGCAACAAATATTACCCAAAATCAGCCCATACACAATCATCTTCCATAATGCCATAATGAGGAAAACTCCAATTAATCTGCTTTTTTTTCGAAGAGACTTCTCCAGTAGGCCTAATTAATTAGAGCTCAACCTTTTTTTTTTCTTTTTTAAAACCCAAATGCACAAATTGAAATCCCAAAATACAAGGCCCAAATCCAACATTACCAAACTGCTGGCAATCCACAGCCCACTACTTAGGCCTAATTCAGTAGACCCATCAAACATTTCAAGCCCACTTACTCCAAAATTAAAGTACCAGCCCAACTAAAAAAAAAAAAAAAACTAACCCAGCAGACCCAACACAACAAATCCAAGCCAACTTGAACCAACTGGCCCAATTTCAACATACTCCAGGACCCAAAACCAATCTACAGCCCATAACCCATGAAACCAAACCTGGCCCAATTTCCTCCAACTTCATCTCTCGAGTGCTGCGCTGCGGCTGCCTCTCATCGACACCAACACACATCCAACATTACCGACCTCCTACAACAACAATACTCAACCATAAACAAACGTCAACCACCAGCCGACCAGCATTCATCACAACAACCCATCAGTAAAACTTTACTGATACAGCCCAAGTCGACTCCGAAAAATTGCCGTCAAACCATGATCGGCAACCAACTGAACTGAAGTTCAAATCTGATCAAAAACTTCCAAAATTATGGTCGAACCTAAGCACAGTCCCATAAGAATCCAACTTGAATCGAAGAAGAAGACCAAACCTCAAATGTTCAGAAAACCAATCTGACCAGTAACCTGCCTTACCAAACTGAGCTGGAAAACACAATCCAAATTCCAAACAATCCCAACGGTGACCAACCAAACACTAACACCAAAGAAAAGAAAATCGAACCTGTTGAAATAAAAAATCAGAACCCCCGGTCACCTGAAGCAGTTGAAGAAGGAGAAGGAGATGAAGAAGAAGAGCCAAAAACCCAAACCCCACAACCCAAATCACTACCAAGAAACGAAGAGGAAAATGGGTCGAATTCTGAACCCGATTCAGACTCCTCTCCTTCTCAATTCAAACTGCAACATATCTCTAAGCAGCCAGCCACCTCTGCCAAACGTGCCCTACAAGGGGATTGCAATAATGAAGATTCTTCAAGAAGCGAGAAGAAGTTGAAAACTGTTGAGAAAAAGTCTGCTCCTACTTCTGTTTCTGCCACTTCTAGAGGTGTAGGATTTATTACGAGGCTGTGGACTGAGGAGGATGAGATTGCTCTTCTTAAAGGTATGATTAACTTCAAGAGCCAAAAGGGAGTGGACCCATATGCAGACATGGGTGTTTTTTTTTATTATATAAAGCAAAAATTACAGGTGATTTTCTTTAGGGCTCAAATGAGTAGTAAGATTAGTAGGATGAAAAAGAGATTCTTGAATGCTCTGGAGAAAGGTGAGAATGGTGAGGACCCTATTTTTTCCAAGCCTCATGATTGTAAGGCCTTCGATCTTTCTAAGAAACTCTGGGGTGCAGCGGTTGAAAAGAGTAAAGGCAGTAATATGAATACAAATAGGGTTGTTGAGAATGTGAAGAAAGATAAGGGAAAATTAGAAATAAGTAGCGAAGATGATAAGCAGCAGAACAGAACATTCTCCTTATTCTCATCACCAATATCACCCTCAACTCTATCACCAAGAACCACAGCAGCACTTACCATAACAGTGAGCTCAGAAGTTTAATCCAAGATTAAACCCGCTCTGATACCATGTAGAAAACAACAAACCAAAGATGAAGAATGGGAGAGAGAGAGAAAACCGATTGATAGCAGCCTCCAAACTTAGGGCAAATATGTGGGTTACAAGTGTATATATACTACGAAACTAAGGATAAAGTAAAAGACTAAACTACCCTTAACCTAATCTATTTATTACATTAACAGTTTTTAAATTTTTATATTTAGTTTTCTTTTAATTTTTGGATAGTATGTTTGGTTCTCCTATATTTTGTTAAAAGTATAACGTTGGTAGCATCTTTAGATTTTTTATTAGTGAACATTTTATTTTGACATTTTCAATGTAAATAACTGAACTGGGCCGAATCGGAACTAATTGGTTTAGTTCCAGTTCAGTTCCATAGCTAACTATGGAACCAATGGTTCCATTTCTAAAATTCTCATTGGTATTCGGTTCAGTTCCCTTTGAAATCGGACCGCGGCCACTCCTATGAAAAACACACTATTAACCACGAGCATTAACCATGAGCAAACCCCATGAGAAAAGCTAACCCAAAAGTACATTTGCTTCTCCTTTGAAAAATACTTTGTTCCTTAAGATGAACAAATGAAATATTTTAAAAAAAGTTCTAAGTGTTCTTCATCTTTGACTTTTTTCATCTAAAGCTTCATCAAAAGCAAAGTGTTGAAGTTTTCTTTGAAGAAAATATAAACTTTGAAAGAAGATTTGTTCTAGAAGACCCCCTTTTGTAGAAAAGAGGCATCTTCCCAACAAGAGTGCTAGCGAAGGAGATGTAAATCCACAAAGAGTGGTGAAGAAAATCTCCAAAAATGACTTCCCTTTGGTCGAGACTAATCACCATTGACCTCGTCATCATAGATGGGAAGAATTGTTGCAGAGGACACATGCTAGACGTGAAAGTGCTCACGAACTCCTCCCCACCACTGGAGAAGAACACATGCTTTTAAGGATTTGTCCAAGTGTACAGAGCCTTACGCTGGACGTGAGTAAAGTCAAGATCTATTGGCCACATGTTGATTGGGAATTGAGGTCAATAGATTGACTTCATCTATGAAAAACCACATTATTAACAACAAGAAACCCCATGAGAAAAGCTTACCAAAAAGTACATTCACATCTCTTTTTAAAAAACTTCTGTTCTTGAAGATGAAACAAATAAAATTTTTAGAAAAAGTTTTTAAGTGCTCTTCATCTTTGACTTTTTGATCCAAAACTTTATCAACGGCGAAGTGTTAAAGTTATCCTTGAAGAAAAGATAAACTTCGAAGGAAAATCTGTTCTAGAAGGCTCACCCTTTGTAGAAAAGAGACATCTTCCCAACAAAAGTGCTAGTGAAGGAGATATAAATCCACAAAGAGTAAAGAAGAAAATCTCCAAAGAAGACTTCCCTTTGGTAAAGATAAATCACCACCAACCTTGTCATCATAGAGGTGGAAGAATCATTGCATGGCGTACCATAGAACAAAACTCCTTACAGCTCTTCCTCTAACATATGCAAACACAAGCGAATATTTATATGCCCCAAAACATGCATACACCAAGTTTTTTCTTAAGTTTCCAAGGTCAATGGAGGAACTAATAAAAAGAGGAGAAATTACGAAGCGATAGGGCTTAATTTTAAAGGCATGAAAGAGTCATCAGCCCCATTAAAAGTGATGTAAAAGTTGATGTCTCCCAAAATCGCCCTATAGGTCAACCTCTCCATTCGAAGAAAAGGACAACTTTTCTTCCATTTACGAACAATAGCAGAGACCTGAAGGTCTACTAATGTCCTTAATAGCCTGGGAACTGAAGTACCAGGAAATAGGTCCCAAAATGAGATACCCATATTTAGGCTTCACTAACAAATGCCTAGAAATAGGCAATAGAATGAATCCCAACCTAGAAATAGACAAGAGATGGGAGCTGTTGAGGCAGTAGCAAAGGAGCAATTTGCAAATTTCCAAACACATCAAAGACATGCCTACAAAATATTTAAGCTAGATGATGATGATGATCTCACATTTTCTCGATGAATCAGGGATGTCCACGTCCCCAACTACTTCACACTTTCCAAAATAACATAATATGAAGGAAAATGTAGTCCAGAAGAGTGCCTAAAGGCTATAAGAACCAAATGGGCTTGAGATGAGGAAGGCAAAGACGTGCCTATCAAGTCTTTAAGCTAGATGATGATGATGATAATCTCACATTTTCTCGATGAATCAGGGATGTCCACATCCCCAACTACTTTGCTCTTTCCAAAATAACATAATATGAAAGGAAATGTAGTTTAGAAGAGTGCCTAAAGGCTATAAGAACCAAATGGGCTTGAGATGAGGAAGGCAAAGACGTGCCTATCAAGTCTTTAAGCTAGATGATGATGATGATAATCTCACATTTTCTCGATGAATCAGGGATGTCCACATCCCCAACTACTTTGCTCTTTCCAAAATAACATAATATGAAAGGAAATGTAGTTTAGAAGAGTGCCTAAAGGCTATAAGAACCAAATGGGCTAGAGATGAGGAAGGCAAATATGTGCCTATCAAGTCTTTAAGCTAGATGATGATGATGATAATCTCACATTTTCTCGATGAATCAGGGATGTCCACATCCCCAACTACTTCGTGCTTTCCAAAATAACATAATATGAAGGGAAATGTAGTCCAGAAGAGCGCCTAACGGCTATAAGAACCAAATGGGCTTGAGATGAGGAGGACAAAGACATGCCTATCAAGTCTTTAAGCTAGATGATGATGATGATCTCACATTTTCTAGAGAAATTAGGGATGCCTATGTCCTCACCTATTTCATGCTTTCCAAAATAGCATAATATGAAGGGGGAGACAGTTCAGAAGAGCACCTAATCAATATAAGACCCAAATGGACTTGAGATGAGACTCCCAATGCTAATGTGTTGAACTTTCCACTTAACCCTATCGAAGGAGCCAAGAGGTGGTACTCCAAGCTTCGGCAAACTCCTCATGAAATGTAGCCAATCATGAAGTTAACATTGTAAGAGTTGATACAGAGATGACAGATAAGAAAGTAGGCATTTGAAGAGGAAGCCATAAACAAAATGACCCCTAAGGAAGAGAAGGCCTATGAAAAAGGTTATATTTGATGAATTGGACCATTGTATCACCGAGTCTAATTAACGAGCAGTACCTATGGAAGAGCTTGAAAGCATCTTGGAACATCATTGAGACCCCATGATAGCTCTCTAAGTTGGAAAGAACTTGTCAAGGGAGGTAAATGATGTCCTAAAAAAACCTTTTGCCAAAAAGTTCGATATTTTTGCCTGAAAGAACCAAAGACATGATTGGTATTGATCTAAAGATCGGTTACCACCACTTCAAAATTGACATAAAATTCATCCAAACACATGGGACTTATGTTAGATATTTTTCATCATTTTGCATGTATTTATTTTTTTGTTTTGCGAATGATTTGCCGCCTCAACTAGTGTTTGTCGCTGCGCAACGAGGATCGACCTGATAAAAAAATTAAGAACATAAGTGGCATAATGAAAAAAGATTAAGGATATTAATTGAATTAAAATATGTTACAACTCATAAAAATTGTGTTGTGAATATAATTATCCAAGTTGAATATGTAAGATGTTTCCAGTTCTCCTTTCCTGTCCTTTCGGATTCAGTTTTGTGATTTTTTTGTTTTTATTTTTTTCATTTTTCATAGTTCTGTTAGATATTTTTCATCATTTTGCTTGTATTTTTTTGTTTTTTTGTTTTTTTGTTTTGCGAATGATTTGCCGCCCCGACTAGTATTTGCCGCTGCGCAACGGGGATCGACCTGCTCGGTCAGGTCGCGGGGTGGTGGGGGTTTGGGGGCAACACGCCCGAAAGAGAATTTTATTTTCAAAAGTCTTTGAATGGGTGCATCTGTTCGTTTTGACAATTACTTCCAACAGATATGTTCTTTATTTCAAGGGACACACCTATTCAAACGATTACCTCAATTTCTATAAATTCTGGACGAATTCTCGTTTGCAAAACACATTAAAAAATATTCTTCTCTCTTTCTCTTAGCATCATCAGTTCTTTTTCGAGTGTCTTCTTGATTTGATCAAATAGTCACAATTTGAATCAAACGCTTCCATTGTATCCTGAGAGAAATTTTCTATCATACCCCAGTCGTGACTTCGTTGGATAGAGGAGAAATATTTCTCAAAAGATAACGTTTTTCGTGTCTTGGAGTTCATTAAATTTTCAGATTTTCTTACATTTTTCTCAACAACTTTGCTTTTGCATCATAGTTGCATCCATTTTTAGAAGCCTTGTCCCAACAACATAAGACTTTGCCTCTACACCATAGTTGCATCTATCTTCACAGGTCTCATCCCAACAATGTGAAACGTTGCCTTCGCGACTACAATTACAATCTCCAGGTTCATATATCCACTTATTTAGTAAGCTACTTATTTCAGTACTCTACTTCTCAAATAATTCAAATCATATTTGAATTGACTAGTCATTAACATATAAAAAATATGTTAGATAAAATATGAAGAAAAATCAGTAAATGTCTCTTGAAAAAGAAGAAGAAGCAAAATGAAGAATCAAAATATAGAGTATTGTTGAAGTGTATGAAAATTTATACTTTCCAAATTTAAAAAAATACTTTTTACTATGCATAATATGCCATTTTTTAATAGAAGTTGTGGAGCTGCACTTAGAGTTTATAAAAAAATTTACTCGTTAAATTTAAAAATATTTACTATTATACGTAAGATACTCTTTATAAGTAGATATTACATATTTTATTTAGAGTCTATTGGAGATACTCCTATCATTATGAAGAGTATCATTTAAGCTCACTGGTGAACAAAAAGAAGTATGTCATGAAGCGCTTAATTGAAAGGTCGAGAAAATAAATTAGTAACTATAGCGACACATTAAGGAATATCAAGTCAGCTTTGATTGACTCTCAATGGTGATTTTCCATCGTAGTTGGCTTATTTTCTAGTGGTTAGAGTTTGTCAC